TTTCGTCGATGTTGTCTATATCATTTAAAGTGATAAATTCTCTAAAAGAGAATCGAAACATTGGAAATGAGCTCTTCAATATATAGAATTCGGTTCCCCTATGAAGAATGATCCGATATTTGCCAACTGTTGATTTGTAAGTGTCAATGTTACTTTCCACTTGATATTGATTGAAGGCATACACTTCTCCATCTTTAAGAACATCCATGAAATGAGATATATGAATAGGCCTTATGAGACCCGTTATCCTTCCATCCTAAAAAAAAAAAAAAAGAATTACAATATCATATACAAACAAAAAATCACGTAAATTAATAGTAATAGAAACTTGTGACAAACCTCATTATCATGGAAAATTAACTCAAGCACTTTTTTGTTTGAAAAAATTTCTAAACTTCTTTGAAACATGCGAATAATACGAAGCTTGAGAAATGGCCTATTGGACCTCTTGATATCCTTGATCAAGCCCCATGTTTGCGTCATGGTATTAATATTAATATTAATAACAAAAGGGAAACAATGTATTGTATATGAAGTGAGTCGTGTTGAATGCAAAATAACAAAATGAACTGGTCTTTTTATAGGGAAAATTACGTGAATTACATTTGTTAAGTAGATAAATGCAAATATTTTATAGATTTAGATTATTACTTTCATTATGATAAATTTGAATTTTAATTAATAATAATACCATAAAAAAAAGATCATGCAATACCAATTGATAGTCAAGAAGAATGGTAAGAAGTAGGTTTAATGTCCTAGGATACTATTGAGAATATTATACTTTCAGAATATTAAGTTTATTAATTATAGATGTAACAAAAATCGTTAGTTTCCTAATTATTATTACTTTCATAATATTTAGTTTCTTATTTATTAATTTGGTAACTAAAATTTTAGCCTTAAATAAAATTAGGTAAATATTGATTGGGATGTTTGTTATATAAAATCGGACTAACATATTTATCTCAATATTTAACTTTTTTTTATTTAAAAGTTTTCACATATATATCTCAATATTTATCATAATTATCTCAATATTTAACATACTTACCTAAATATTAATATACTTATCTTTATTTAATATACTTATCATTATTAAATTCATAATGACAAGTCCGATTTTTATTAATAATAATACCATAAAAAAAAATATTGCAATCCCTATTGATAGTTATGAAGTAGTTTTAATTTCCTAGGATACTATTTAGAATTCACGTAACTGATATTTAGTTTGTTAATTATTAATTATTAATAGGGTAAATCTGTTTTAGATTGACATGAAATCTATATTTAATTTATTTATGCAATTTGATGTCTATATCATTAATTTAAACGAAAATTATTATTATTTTCAAAGCTATTTGAGTAGATATCTAAAAATTGCATCGATTACGAATTAAAAAGATTGTAAATCTGAATATTATGAATTTATTGTGTTTTGATTATAAAAATTGCATCAATTACCAAATTTTTTATGTATATATAAATCTATTAATCTATTAATAAAAAAATGTAGTGATGTAGAAGTCATTATCAATTTAAATGGAATTTAAAATGGCCGATTTATTGTCAAAAATTTGTTAATGACAATGAACTAAAATCGTATTATTCATTAATATATTTGTTTATAGTAACCCATATTATATTTAATTGTGATAATCAATATATTTATACAAATCGATTTGCATATCATGAATACAAAATTATACGACATTTTATTTAACACGAAAATCAATCTAATTTTTAGATCATTTTCGAGTAAATTTGAATTATAATTTTAAACGTAATTAAAAAAAAAAGAAATAATTTATTGATTGTATTTATATAAATTTTCGAAAAATTGATAATTACAATGAACATATAGGTATTAATTAATTAGTTAATATATTTATATTATACCAAACTATATTTGATATTTATAGAACTCGATTTAAATTACAATAACCATTATTTACGCATGAACTTTGAATCATATCAAATAAATAATAAAAATATTATAATAAAATTAATAGCCTCAAAATTCAAATAACTATCATATCCTACGAACGTCATGGAATAAAACTATCATAATTTCCCAAGAAAGCCATGCTGTAATCTTCATTGTCTCTTGCTGCTCATTAGTGGTGTGGAAAATTTCCATCGTACTTGAACACATTAGTATTTCGATTAAGCACAAGCATCCATTTGTGGCTGGTTCCATTGATCTGTCGGTTATTGAATTCGATAGTATAGTTGTGGATAGCATAAACATCGCCTTCTTTGAACATATAATCTCATGTTTCGTGAACGTATGATGCCATTTATGTGTGCACCCTATAATATAAAGTTATAAATTTAATTAATATAATTTATACAATAATTTATGTTATATAAAACAATTGAAATGCTTACCTCTTTATCTTGAAACAGGATCTGGAAATGGTTCTTGCACTGCAGATCGAAATGAGATTCGAAAATGTTGACTACTCTCAATGTCAAAAGAGGCTGGTTGGCCCTATTGACGGCCTCAAGTGTACCAAAGACAGACGCCATTTTTTTTATTTTGTGTATGTCGATATATATGTGTATATTTTTCTGTCGTGAACTTTTGGAAGATATGATAAACATGTATTTATATAGATAGGATTATATAGCACATGTGATTAGAAGAAAATCTGAACAAATCTTTATAAATTCAATTATAGAAATAGATAAGTCCAAAAAAGGCTAAAATAAATAACCAAAATATCCAAAAATTTTGAATCTGTTGGATGGCGCTCGGATTTCAACTTTTAGCCAAAAATCTTTCTCATTTTATTCACTTTAGGCGGGAATTGGATTCTTTTTTTTTTTT